AATCCATGTGTACTTACATAATACATTCAATACACTCAAGCAGGCGGTTTTCAAGGCTAACGCCAAGCTATTTTTCACAACTTTGCATTTAAGTTTTTTGTTGCTGTGGCAGCGGCAGCGGAAGCAAGGTGAGCGCGTTTGTGAGAGCGCTGTTGATGTTTTCTTTGTATTCGCGCTGATTTCATTTCTAGTTGAGTAAACCAACACGAGTACAAAGTATTCTTATACACCGTAGTAGACGCATAAAGTACATGTGAACACAGCTCCACACTCATACAAACACATGTCACAAGAAATAGGGAAGCAGTAAACACACTGTAGAACAATAAAGATAACAACATTTGTGGCAAGAAAAACAAATAAAACAAAAAAAATATTTTGTTTGCGATAATACAGCAACGCATATGGGGCATGTTTGTGTGTTGTCGCCAAGGGGATAAAACGGCTAAGAATCTGAAGCAATAGACGCAACAACGCCGAAAGCACTCAACTTCATAGTACACCCTAATGCCATATGTGCCATTGAGGGGGCACTCAACATCCGTCTTTATTCACTAAGTTTCTTTCTTTTATCCTCGCTTATGTTTTTCTAACTTTTTCTTTTTCCCTTTTCCTTTTCTTCCTTTATTATTGTTCACACTTTATACCTTTTATTAACACTACGCTTTAAGTCACATCAGTCACTCAATCAGCTAACGGTATACGTAATGAACGTTATACCGAATGATGTGAAAATCACATGTAGCATGAACTGTAAATTATTTTATTTAATGACGATACTTAAGTACATACATACTTGTACATATGTACATATGTAAGTATATACATTTTATCCCTCATATGTTAGGCGAGAGCTTGTACTATATAACCAATCATACTATTAGGCATCTTCGATTCGCCATTTACCTCCTCGCTATCTTTTACTGCTGTTCTGTTATCAAAAATTTTATATGTGAAAGTAGCAAAAAAGTTATGTAGATTTGATATTACTTCAATGAAGTGGTATAACATATTTTTTTGCTAAAAAGTTTCGTTTCGCAAATGCTAAAAAGTTTCGTTTCGCAAAATAGTCCCTCAGTTTTGGAGATATCAATGTGATATTTTGCACACGTCCATTTCTCTTCCAATAAGCTGCTAATGTATCGGAACCGCCGATATCGGACCACTATATGATATGGCTTCCATACAAACTGTACGATCGGAATCAACATTGACAAGATACAATATCTGAATAAATTCTCCAGATCGAACGACTATAGCAAATAGCTGGCAGATTAACTGAACGATCGGACTCAAGTTTTGGAGAAAAACTATTTTGTTTGACAAGATATTTTCGCGAAATTTGTCACGGATTATTGTGCAAAGTGACGGTACTTGTAGTCTCCGAAGGAATTGTTTAGATCGGTTCACTATAGCATATACTTGTAGCTGTCATACAAACTAACCGATCAAAATCAAGATAAAGATCTTTTTATACCTTTTGTGCAACAAAATATGTTACTGTGAAGGGTATTATAGCTTCGGTTCAGCCGAATTTAACGTTTTTTCTTGTTGTGAATACTTAAATACTTACGATTGGAAATAAGGTATCAATGTTTATAGAAAACACAAGACAGGACTCTACTAGAAAACCACGTACTATTAAAATGTTATTTCGATGAAGGGAAACGCTTTGCCACCAATAAAGAAGTGTCACGCCTGCTTTAGAGGACATGCTAGCGCAAGCTTGCATAACAAGTGCTGACAGACTATTTGAGTAACTGTGCTAATTTGTTTGGTGCGCTACTCCCTAATGCCTGACGAATCGAACATAGTCATTATGTGTCAGGTTCGGAATTTTTTTTTTTTTGAGAGCTTTCATTGAGAGTTATAAATAAGTTAAGTATTTTAGGATATATTTTTTACAGAAGAAATTTAGACCCGAAAGATATATTATTCTACACTCACAAAAAAAAATGCTGTGATACAATGTTTTGGTCTTAAAATATGAGCTTGTAAAAACAAATGTTTTGAATGCAAAGCAAAAAAAGTTTAGGAAAATTGTAACATTTGCAAGCATAAATTGTAGAACATAAATTAAATTTGCTTAAAATGAACAAAAATTGTGACAGTGAGAACTTTGTTAGTAAATTCTCTACTCAAATTGCTTTTAAGGAAATTGTGGTAAAATATTCGCATCCGGTGGCAGCCGAAATGTAGAAGCGCGAGAAGTTTCCACGAATTTCTCTATCCAAGCGCATATCTTAATAGAAATAAATAACAACTACTAGTTGGGTAACTTTGAAAGGTCAAAATAACTGACTAAATAAAGAACAACAATAACACTTAGACGCCTAGTGCGAAGTATCGCTGTTGCAATAACATTACAACTTGCCACATAAATAATTCTTGCCAACATAAGTGGATTGCAACAGATTGGCAAACATGGCCAAAAACATGACCAGAAACACCGGCACACACCCACGTATGCAGAAGTATAGCATCCACGCGAGCACGCACACACACAAGCACACACTCGCGTGAAATTCACCGCACTTGTCGTACGATGGGCACGCATACTAATTTAACAACATACCGCACAACAACAACAATAACACATTAACCACCAGTGGAACTTTGAGAGCACCACCGCATATCTTGAGCGTGTACGGCAAGAGCAACAACAATGAGGCCACAACGATACGAGTGTCGAGGGCCACAATCGCGCGATATGCAGCAGTAAGGCCGCAAGCAACGCGAAAACACGAAAACTAACACCAACTTTTCGACGCTACAAAACTCACGCCTTCACCATCGCCAGCAACACCAATGCAATGTGCAACTTTCGCTATTGCTGCAACAACTCATTTCATTGCTATTACACTTAATACAACTAAAACACTTTTGCAATGATTTAGAAGTGCATTTACACATGCACATTTGCATATACGAGGGTAACTTATACACGAAAGTCACTGGAAGTGCGGCATTGAGGGGAAATATTTCAACAGAGTTTCAAAAAGGGGGAGCGGAGTTAATTATGTGTGCATTCGTAATAGGGTCGCATATACTCCTAGGGAATTGCATTGGTATTAGTTATTATTGATACTGGTAAGACAACAAATTACAACCGTCAATGGTAACATTTTTAAATTTATCTGAATTCCCTTAATATCAATAATAACTTCAATTAACTTTACCCTCAATCCTAAAGGGTACGGATGGATTACGAGTCTTTTACTACTTTGATGGATTCGTATATGAAACATTCAATCAGGACCTTCATCCACATTAAGGGTTTGTATCTTCTTGCATTTAATAAACGAGTCTTTTATGAATTTTTTTCTTTTTTTTTTGTAGATGCATTTTATATAATGCATAAATATAAATAATGTACATTTAGAGAATTCAATGTACTTTAATAATTTTCGATTGATTTAGAAACATTTTTAGATTCCCTTGATCCTAGAGTACCTTCGAACATAGATGTCTGGCGATGAGGAAGATTTTTCAGCTTCAAATTATCTCAAATCCAATAACAAAACAAGTATTATTACTACAGATGAATACAAGTAATGATCAAGGATATAGTCGTTATTTAAACTATAAAATTGCTCATAAATTACTCTCAAAAATCTTATTTCTTTTATCATTATCTGACAAATATATCTACCACGGTCGTGTGAAAATTTTAAGACAACTCTGAAAACATCGATTCGAGAAAAAAGCCGTTTACACTAAATTAAAAAATTCTTACAAATACGCTCATGTTATCGGGAGATCGGAGAATTATCTTAAATATATGCAAAACTACAATTTTTTGAATTTCATAATCAATCGCAATTGGCTTTTACAGCGGACTAATACAAGTGGGAACATCAGAGAAATATAAAAATGGCTGTGATATATGTTATAACTTTCGGGATAGTAACTTATTTGGCAATCCAAGTGCACCTATGTTTAGAATTTAGTATGGCACTAAGGGAATCTCTGTTACAAAAAATACCTGGACCAAAAAATCTTTGTACAGATTAGATAAAAACGAGTCGACATCGACAGTAGGTAATGGTATAGCCGATATGTATTGTATGAATTTGATATATTATATTAATATTGAGGTATGCACCGCGACCTGTGATCTATTGTGCCTTAGTAATTTACATTGATAAAAAAATCGTCAATTATCTCCACAATTGCGTAGGTCATTCGCTAAATATCGTGAATCATCACGTCACTGACACTTGAGCACACTGTCATCTATGTATACGAACATTTTATGCTGCTACAACAACAAAAAAAATACATCTACTTAAAATCTAACACAAAAGCCCCTTTGCATAACATTATATGGAGCTCTGAAGAAGGATTCTGCAGTAAATTTCTGGACTTATTAGCAATTTTGAAGGATAAGTAAAGAGTGAGCTTTACGGAATTTATCTCAAATCGATAAAATCTAATATAGTGAATGAGATACTTAGCATATCATAAATCAAGAAACACATTAACAATAAGTAATAAAAAGTTAACAGAATTACTAATATGCTGTCAAACTTCCTTTAATGACATTATTATCAGCAAAGAGTTTCCAAAAACGTATCTAAATTATTTCAGAATAACAAGTATGAACGCTCATGATTTATTGAGATATTTTATCATAAGCTAAGAATTTTATATAGCAGTATGAATATACTTTCCGATTCACGAACTACGTCGCCGAAATACGCGCGAAACCCTCTCGACTTTTAGATAGCAAGTAGAGCAGCGCTTGGCATTACTTGGTATTTTCAATTAAACAACTTTCGTTACGTAAAAATAATGGGGGACTTTGACGTTTTATACGAATATATACACATGCCCAACCATCTCATTTACTTCCGAGTCATTTAACGCAAGTAGGCATATATTACTTTAAAGCAACATTAATCGCACTTAAAAATTTTGTTGAAATTTTAACTCGTATTAATTATTTATATTATATAATATGAGAAATAGTATAGTGATGTGCAGAAAAGTGTACTCACATTGTCATAGTTGATTATGCGCTTGGTGTCACCACTACAAATTAGGCGCAGCTGAACATTTGAGGTGCCTGAAATGAGAGAAAGAAAGAGACGACATTACGATTTAGAAAATGATGTTTGAATGAGAAAAAAAAATGTTTATATAAGGTTTAGGTCATTTTCAAATTTATTTTTGAAATTTATATTAGCAACCAACATAGCATAGCTATTAAGCCTAATGCTAAAGGGACTGTAATGAAAACATTTGCTAAAAACTTAACAAACAAGAACAACAAAGTTGTTGAAATCCCAAATATTAGCCCTCTTTAAATAATATCTATTATGAGTGTTATGTCGTTTTCGCTTATCTGCACGGCTAACAATTTGAAAAGTTAACGCCACAGAAAACTATATGCTGGTATGAAACAAAACCGCATAAAGGAGTCCCAAAACCAAAATTCTACAAAACAGTCAAACAACGAGAGTGACTGAAGGCAAAACTTTTGCTTTTATGCGTCAATCAAAAGTGAAACGACTTTCATTTGCATGTGCCATAGTTCAAAAGCTGGCGTTGATGGGATAGAGCGTTGATGAGGCTGAGTCCTTGAACAAGCGTTGCAATTACAAACAACCGCAATTTTTTATTACAGCCCACAGCCAAAGGAAAATAGTAATTGTAATTATAAACAACAATATTCAGACAAGCAAACAAACGATTTAGAAATAACAGGGTGCCAACAAATATAAGCAAAGAGCTATGTGTAAATTTCGGTGTCGGACACAAGTTGAAACAATGTATGCCCAGGAAGACTGAATAGAATGTCTAACACAAAATAAAGTGATGCAAGCGTTGATAGAAATGTTTGAACATAGCTATCCAAGATCATACGAAAATCATAAGAGTATGTAAAGTATTATATGCCGGTGAAATAGTTCCCAGATATAATATGGGAGTAGAACATACTAGAAACGAACTGTAATCTCAAAGTTATTCCGTTCCCTAACATAAGCTAGTATTAAGATTGCAAACATATCTAGAGAGAGCAAAAATCAAACGCACTCACCTAGACTCAGAGGGAATGGATGCGTAGGTGGGAGTTCGGGTAATTTAAATGCATTGGCGTTGAAGAAAAAAAACACAATAGTTATTCTTTAATTGTTAATGTAATGAATAGAATCTTTGGGGAGTTTCGCTTGCAATGATAAACATAAGAAATATGAAAAATCCCTTGTTGCTCTTTATCTGTCATCTGCATATTAATTTGTCTCATTGTCGAAAGCTGTTTATGTGCGAGATGACTTTGCATTTCTCTCTCATATATGTGATTAAATATAAGTTAATTTTTTGTATAGAACTGCAATGTGCTTTTAAAAGGCTTCACCTAGTTAAGTTTTACCAAGAACAGATTTTTATTTTGCCTTACTAACAAGGTAAGTCGCATACACCTTGGCACTGGAGCAACAAGGAATATGTTTTCAAAAAATATCTGCTTAAAAATATATGAGTACCATACTCGTAAAAACATTGTAGGGAAAAATTAAATAGTGAGGGATAAGCGTAATACATGAAGAAGTAAACGCGAGACATAGCGAAGAGCAAAACAACGGCACAGAAGAAAATGATGAAAATGAAAATCCCTCAGATTTGTACTTTTAATCGGACAACAGCAATGAAAGTGGCTATACCAACTTGAGTGCTTTTCTGCGTAATAGCAAACACTATGACACAGACACAACAGAGAAGAGATGGAAACGAAAGCCAGCGCTACAGTCTTAAATGCTGTCGTTGATGTCACTAATACAATGTGCGAAATTTGTAGAACCACAAAGGTTGGAGAAAACTGTTTCAAACACTTTTAAAAAGGTTTCGAATATTGGCAACAAAAAAATCATTATCGCATTAGAACGCTGTTTTAAACGTACAATGTAAGATGGGTGTAGAGTATTATTTTAATTTTAACAGACTTATTATTCTCATATATACAAACACCTATACTTTCTATGTATAGAAGAAGTTGGAGATCAGCTTTCTGCCAGAAGACCTGCCATACTTCAAATAACTGTTTTTATTTTCGCCCGAGATTAGACGATGATAATTCATCCGAAATTAATATCATTTATTTAATACATAATAATGTCAACAAGAATTCGTATACGGAGAAGATTTCAAGAAAAATACAAGCATATGTCGTGAAGTGTATCAGGAATTCTTACCAACTGTATATATGTGTGTAGGATCACAGCCCGTAGTTGTCGCCGACCTGCCGCAGCCGTCGTCGACATATTAAAAATTCATAGACCACGGAAACAAGGCAAGTTTTTTTTCATTATCTGGCGGATTTCATTTTTAAATTCCTGCTGCTTTCGGTACTTTCTTGTATTGGTTTTTGCAAACGATGTTGCAAAAAGGTGAGCAGAAAAACCGTAAAGTGTATGTATGTCTAGCATTGGTTTCCAAAATCAACAACAACACTGGCATGCCGCTTACTGACTACCGAGCCGCAGTGCTGCAACAGCGATGGAGCTAAGCGAGGTAAAGTTGTAGCGCATATGGCGACGAATGAAGCGCCGTTTTGGCATAGCTTGCAATAAGAGCAAAAACCAAATAGCACTGCAAACAAGGATGCGACCGGGAACAGTGTAAAGTGAGACGCGGAAAAACGGAAGTAAGACGATGCACTCATCCGGCTTCCATATGCAAGAAAACGCTTCGCAACATGGCTGGAGAATGTGGTTTTTATTTAACGCTCAACAAAAAGTGTATGCATGTGTGTGTTGGCGTACATGGTGTTTCAAGAGAAACAAAGCTAAGTTTAAAATATTTAAAGACTGACAATATAGATTTTCTGCGTAAAACAATTTTTAAGGAAAAACTTTAAAAACTTGGCTTAAAGAATAAAATATTTTTCGCTTATATATCCCAAATTTTCATATTGTAAGAAAAGTCTACCGTTAAAGGTGTGTCTACCGAGATGTTTCAACTTCAGTCTGGCAAACGCTAGACATTTGAGAAGAAAATACCTAGCTGATTCCACCTCGCATTCCGCGATATAGCTGTGGTAACTTGCATCTGACAGGATATATAGTCTAAGCGCCAAATCTCACTTTAAAAAAATTTAGGAAGCTTCCGCAAAAGATTTTGCAACAATTTTGGACGTTTTTTTCACATTTTCCCCGCAGCTTTCTAAATTTGCATCGCCAATGCGCCGAAATATAGACAACAGTTGCTATTAGAGCACCGTTTATTTCACTTGCAAGCGAGCATTTAGCGAAAGTGCTGCTATTTATGTAAGCTGGCATAGCAGTTAGGATGAGTCGCGATAATATCCGTAGGGGAAGCCAAAGCGCGAAATAGCGAGATAAGCGTAGAAGGCAAAACAAGCGCAACGGGACAATTGCCAATTCTAATGTGATTTACAGATTATATAAAAACAGACGAATGAGTGGCACATACGTAAAATGTGAAAAATTAAATAGCGGATAAACGTGAAATACGCTTGACTCCATAGAAACACTGCGGGAAAATGATCGCAAAGCGGATACAAAAATCTGCCAGCGACGTTGCGGTAAATAAATGAAACTGTTTCACTTAGGATTCGAAAGGGAATTAATTTTAACTAAATTCAGACATAGAATAGTAAATAATTTTCATTAATCACTGACTAGGTACTTTTAGCCGAAAAGTGATTTTAGTACTTCAAACAGGCATCCACATTTCTGTCACAATTAGCTATGTGGGTGGATGTTGGAAGTAACTTGTGCTCGTTCAACTACAAAAATACTATATAAAACATTCCAATAGCAATTAACCAAAAGCTTTAAAGTCACCAATTTATCAACGTGTCTCTTACAGCTTTCTGTGACATCTTTCTTAGAAATAGCACATATTTAAAAAAATACACATCCTTTTCATTTATATTTGTTGTAATAAATAAATAAATATATGTAGACCACTCACCGCATGGCGCTTCTGTAGTGAAGAATAAATTCACCAAACCCTGTGAGTAATCAGTTTCTGCTTTGCGATGATTTCCACAAATGTTGAGTGTAAAAGCATCTTTACCGCTGAGAATCTAATGGAAATACGAGAGAAAGACGTATATTAAAAATTTAATGTCATCAGCAATATTTTATTTATAATTAATTACAATAAAATTCAACGTTCAGCCAAAATTAGCGAGAATGCTCAAATTAGCTTACCTTTATTTGACCAGCGTCGGTGAAAGGCGCCTTTTTTAGTTCGTAATTGAAATTAATATCGTCGTTAATTATTTCGCATGTCTCCTCATTAAAAGTGCACATATGTGAGGGACATATGACGTTTGTCGTCCACTGGAATTCGTAATGACAATCCGAAATGTTCTGTAGAATTGGTTTACCCTGCATTGAAAAAAAAGAAAACAATATTGAATAAAGTAAAAATTTCAAATACTATATATATCGGTTGCAGGATGTTAAAGTAACTTAAGTTCACTTAACTTAGTAAGGACAATTTAAGTTATTCTGACCAATTTATTAACGAATTTGCATTGTGAGCCAGGCACAGGTGAACAAACTATTATACTATGTAGCAACATGTTGCGAGAGTATGATTATACAAATAATAGTTATATAACGTCTAGAGGTTTCTAAATCCTGGAAGATAATTTTATTAGGCGATTAAAGGTGGTTTAAAAGGGCCTTCTTCGGATAACAACAAAATAGACACCATACATGAGATTTGAAGCTCCACTTAAATTTATATTGATATATTTGTTTACAGGCATGTCATGTCCCATGATCGTTCTACCAACTTAGTCAAAGAGTTGGGATTTTCGTCTCAGAACATATTTTTTCAAAGAGTGAGGAAGATAAGAAAAAAAATAGAGTTTGCTTGTTCTTGAGAACAATAGCCTTGCTTGATCTTTTGAGTTACTTAGGGAGCGAGTTGGGATTTATAGATTTGCTTAGCTCTTAGTTTGAAACAGCTAGAACAATAATGACTAGGGGATTAAAATATATGATGCGGAAGCCAAGAATTATGTGGACTATATACCTATTATGCTCAAATTTTGACGGTGAATCGTTTTTTGATTTCAATTAAAATATCCTAGGCTTGAGGCCCGGCGATAGAAATTATCTAGACCATAATTTTCACAAAATTACAAAGTTTTTCCATAAAAAAATTTAATTAAAAATAATAGTTTAATAGCCTACTATTTTCCTTCATTTTTAAGCATTCGCTTAAAACTTACTCTTGCAACATGTTGCTACAGAGTATAATAGTTTTGTTCACCTAACGGTTGTTTGTATACCTTAAAACTCATCGAGATAGATATTGGGTTATATATAATATATTATACATATAAATAAATGGGTTATATAAATGATCAGGATGAAGAGACGAGTTGATATCCGGGTGACTGTCTATCCGTCCGTCTGTCTGTCCATCCATCTGTGCAAGCGATAACTTAAGTAAAAATTAAGATATCATAATAAAACTTGTACACGTGTTCCATAGAAAAAAGGTGAGGACGAATTTGTAGAATGGCGTAATCACACCACTGCCACGCCTACAAAACGCCATTAATCGAAAACCTATAAAATGTCATTACTAAGCACTAAATTAAAATATAAACCTGTTATTTGGGGGATTGCAGTAGCAAGGGGCACCTGTGGAATAAAACCTAAAAAAAAGGGCGGGGCCCGCCCTCAAATAGGTTTAATATAATATATATATCACCTTAACCACTAATGCTACAATAACCAAATTCGCTTAGGACAATTTCTATAAGCACCCCCATCGACAGTGTGAAAATGGATAAAATCGGATGTAACCCCGTTCTCTCCCCTACTAAAAGCGCGATAAATCAATAACTAAATGCGCCAGAGACATTAAATTTTACACCTAAGACGATATAAGAGGGCTTTATAGGAGTCCACATTTAGGTGAAATCACATATCTTCGGACCTACACGACCAATTTTAACCAAATTTGGTATATATTATTATTCTGACGATCCTATGTAACGTTGTGCAATGGCTGCAATCTGAATTCAACCACGTCTAATTTTTTCACTTTCCAGTATACAAATTAAGCACTAATGAATATATTCGGATAAAACTTTGCACATATAGCGCTTTTGAGGTATGCCTCCTCGAGTCTATAAATTGTTAAAATCGGACCAAAACTGTTCAAGCCCCGACATACCAAATATGTAAACCCTGGTGATGGTGGTATGGCTGACTTTTTCCCGAAAATATTGGTTAATCTGAGATATATTTTATTGAAATACTGGGCAAATGTTTCTTTGATATAAAATGTACGCTTGTGTCAAAAATAGGTTGAATCGGGTCGATACTTCCCTTAGCGCTTTTCTTCCAAATGACTTTATACCATATATGTATATGGGCCAATGTTGGAGTTATTTTCATGAAATTGAGAGAGCGTTGTGCCTAAAATGTATACAACCGGGCTAAAACTTGCTTTAGTCTTATATATGGTAACTGATATTCAGGATTTTAAAACATCCGGCTGACTTCACTCCATATATATGTATATATTTATATATTTATAAAATTGCTTGAAAATATGGATGTCAATACTTGCACAATGTCAAAAATTAATGCAATTAGCCCTCCCATTTCTCTGCCCCCAATATTTCCTTTATAATGATTTCTGACTTTTACCTGACTTTAAACCATTTAGGGGTGTGTAAATGTGTGATATTTTAATGAAATTTAATAGACACATTTTCTTAAAAGATATAAAATTATATTAATAGTTTGACGCTCAACAATAATGATATTGGTCTTGGTCTATATAATATCAAATTTAGCCACTTTGGCTGAGTTTATATCAGATATAACTCATTCGAAGATGATTTTCGCTGATGGGAAGTAAAATATAGTAATAAAACTAGGTAAGTCTATGATGATCCTTTCGCTAAATTTTCCAACACCTAAAGGTATCTAGCCGACTTTGATCGTTGTAAGTTGCAAGAGTATAAAAGGTTCGATTACACCCGAGCTTAGGCCTCCCCTACTTGTTTAATTTTATATTTACTCAATCGATTGGTTGTTTTATGGGTTGTATAAAAAGCGCAAATAAATGTAAACATATTTAAGCTGACAATTATGAGTGCAAATAGCAATATACACAATTTACATGCACACACACATACATTCTCTGGCAAATATGTACACATTTGAAATTGTTGAAGCACTTTGCATATGCCGCCCCCACACTTATCGCCGACCACAAAGTCGTTACATAATGATTGAGAACTGGCACTAACGTCAACAGCGTTTCATAACCGCAGAGGTCACTGCATTTCAAGGCACACACACACACACGCACAAAGAAGCACACTGGAAATGCCAGCAGTTGAACGATCAACGGGTGCCTCGATGGCTGACCAACAAGCAAACAAACAGCCGTTATGGTCATAAGGGGAAAAGCGAGTGAAATGGGTGTTACTATATTAAATTACAATTACAAATCAACAGTTGCCATAATCACAACAGCCACCAAATGCAATAAAAACCCACACCATTAACAGTCAAGCGGTGCCGCCGCCTGCAACAGCAATGCTGCCCATGCCACAATTGAGTAAGGTGCAGCCTTTGCCGACGTGATGGCCAATTGCAATATCACCTGCGGCACCATTCCATTGCAACATTAATAACAATAATATTGGAAAACAATTGCTGAACCGATACATACACACACACACGCACACATGCGTATGAAATTGATTGGCAGACCCATTAATGTTCAGACCGCATGACTGTGCCGGGTCAAACGAATTGGCATGCCAGTATTTGTGCCATGAACCACTCTGTAATACCACAAACAATTACATGTTAATATGAATAGTGCAGTTATTAAGTTGAGCTTACTGTTACGACGGATTAAACGATAGGTATAGCCATTGTCTGAAAATGGTTTCCCTGCACACTAAGTATATTGAGTAATTAACTGATTAAATTTCTATCAATATCCGTAAATGTCGCTACTACAAAAACTACGATTCGAGCGCCGAACAGGTGTTAGATCGGAGCCAGTCTTTATTATATTTACCGACGATAACCATTGACATTCGACCAAACCAAAAAGATACAGCTATTTTTTCTCAGAAGAGGCCCGTTATATTAGTCTCTCTTTAGCCACAGCTATTACGGTAGTCACCAACTTACTCACCCACTACTACCTATCTTTATATTGTCTACATTGTTCAGATGATAAAATAGGAAACATCATCGAGAGCTTGTCTTGCTATAGAAATACAAGTACTGCCTTTGTAATCATTGTCTTTATGGCGTAAAGAATTCTAATGCATGAAAATACTTTTGTCGTCTCATAGACATTACCTGTTAACATGAGGACCTTGAAAAATATTAACTATTTTGTATCCAAAGCTTTGAAACTTGTTATTCAAAAGATGGATAGCTTGTATTAATTACCTATCAGAGGTGCATAACTGTTTGTATAGCGGTTTCGCTTTCGGTTTACATAGATCACAACTTTACTTGCAGATCACATTTCAGCAAAGTCTCACATTGGTTTTTTTGAGCAAAGACTTATGTATATCTCACGATACCGCATAAGTTAAAATACTCACTGCAGTATTTTAATGAACTAAGCTAAGTTCAGCTAATCCTGGGAAGTAAAAAAGTTAGAGAACTTCGGTGACCTTTCCAAAATTTACGCTAACCTAACTAAATATCATGTAAAATATCAAAATTCGAGCATGGCTTTTTGGAAGTCACGCAACAATTAACCAACTGGCATTGCTTCACTATCATCTCTCCAGATTAGCGACCTCCCCCGAGTCACACAGAAACATATATATTCCTGTAAATAAGGCTACACACATACGTACATACAAAGATATGTGTATGAATATAAATATGCCTGCAGAAACCAGCAATAATGGAGGCCAAACTATTGCATTTTCAATAACCTCCATTTACACTACTGAAATGTCGGGAAGCGGCCGTTAAACATTGTTAAATAACGCATGAGTTAACACGAACGCATGTTGGACTTAATTGTGGTGAAAAGCGATTACAAGTATAATTAAAAACTGCCATACTTAACGAAATACCGACAAATTACTGAACTTTTAATCAGCAAGCTACAATATCGATTGCATTTGTTTTTGTATATTGTTTGTATATTTGTTTAAGTTTCAATATGAGTACAGTTGTTGTAAAATAGTAGCACTTACCAGACCAGCGCGCATATCACAGTTGAATTTAATGCTGGAGGAGAGTTCCGATTTGCTATCGGTGGGGCAAGTGCTGCCGCGTAGGTAACGTAATTCCGCGACGGTGCGATTGTAGGCAACCAATGAGGCCATTGGGAAACCAAGACTCTGAAAGTAAAATAAAATGCATAACATTTTCAATGATAAGAAAAATTAAGTAGATGCAGATGCATAGTTATCATAAATTCGAAAGTGGCAGATCGAACAAACAACTGGTACAAATACCATAGGCTGACAAATAGTAAAAAGTTAAAAAAGAATAGTAAAATGAAACCCATTGCAACAAAAAAAGAATATAACAACAATGAAAGGAAAAAAAATTAAGGGTTATCTGCAGTAGGAATACGGTTAAGTTTTTAACGTTAAAAATAATTTATCTCGATTACTGAAAAATCTAGAAGTAATATGGAAAAACGTTAAATGGCAAAGTTGTAGGCAAAAAAAAATCTATAATTTTCGCGCTGACAGTTCTATCACATAACCTAAAAGTAAATGTGCAAATTTCAAATAACCTTGTTTTTTATCTTTTAAAAACAATTTTTAAAAAAACGTTGGTTCGTTTTTTCTTCGTTGAAATCTCTACATTCTGATGGTATGAAAAGTATAGACTTTACTACCATATAGTAACTTTTCTTAGAAAATCCAAAAGAAGACCCGAAAACACCCTCTTCACTCAATAACCATTCACTTCAATACCGAAAGCCTTTAAATTTGTGTAGTAACTAAAATCAGACATAAACCATAGATTTCAATATGGTCTTACTCATAAATTTCTCTTTCTTATAATTTTCATTTTCATAACTATCTTGACGAAAGCCGAAAACTGCCGTTCAAATATCGCAAAATATTAAATTTCATCAAATGGAAAGCCTTAAGAAACAGACCATAAAGAGCGATATATTCTTAGCAAGAAAAATAGTTTATCGTAATACGTACGTCCATCATTATTGTTGTTGTGAAATGTAAAAATACAAAAAGTTTCCAAATGCATAATATTACTACTAAATAATCTTCGATGTGGAGAGCAGGAAGAATAGTAGACACAACATTTGCAATGCGAGAAGGTGTACGTGAGGCAAAACGCACAAAACTTCTTGCAAACGCAAACAAGGTATTTTGCCGCAGATTCTGTGTGCATATGAAGGGATATATATACTTTCCGTTGGGCATCGTATCGCGTGAAGAATTGTATTACATTAGGCCAGCAGCAAAGGAAAACGTGAAATTCGCTCAATCGCTAGCAAGGGTTTAACAAAATTCAATTGAACACAACCGAAGCGCTACTAAACGCATTTCGAATTGAAATTCAAGTGAATTTGCAATAAGCAAAAGCCGCATGGTTTTGAGATTAGTGAATAATTCTTATTTGATTTTGCGTCCGCTGTGGCATGCACATAAGGCAATCGAAAAAATTATATTGAAAATATTCATCTTCGTACTTTTGAATTGAGTCAGATTGTCTTTAAAACACTAGAATTAATATTTATTACGAGATAATGGCACTTATTGTAACTTAGTGCTAGTCGTAACATATAGATAGTTCACAGTAGACCTACCAATCTAAAAATGAGTTACGTTGCCATTTGAAAAAAGGATCGTCTAACCGACGTTTAGAAAACGATCAGTAAATGTTGGTATTAAAAAAATATTGAGGAAATCGAAGGTTTTGTATTCATTACCAGAAATGTATTTAGTGTGTATTACGAGAATCCTTTAACTAAAATTAAATCTTATAGTAATCTGAAAAAATATTTCTCGAAAATGTTTGTGTACAAGGCTGAAAGGCGATTGAAGAAACTGAAATTGGTGACTTAGCGTTCGATATTAAGACCTAATTCTAACTAGATTGTAATCAGGATTACCAAAGTTATTCAGAATTCTTTTTACCCTGAACAGGTATATTAAGTTTGCCACGAAGTTTGCAATACCCAGAAGGCAACGTCAAAGACCTTACACAGTATATACATATGGTATATAAATGATCAGCATGACAAGCTAAGTCGATTTAGTCCCTCTTTTTTTTTGAGATATAAACCTGAAATTTGCGCACGTTCTTTTATCACCAAGAAGCTGATTATTTGTCGGAAGCGCCGATATCGGACCACTATAACATATAGCTGCCATACAAACTGAACGATCAGAATCAAGTCCTTGTGTGGACAACTTTTTTATTTGACAAGGTATCGTCACGAAATTTGGCATAGATTATATTCTAAGGCAATCTCCGCAGAAATTATTCCCATCGGACAACTATAGCATATGGCTGCTATACAAACAGACAGATCAAACTCATGTCCTCATAGGGAAACCTTTTTTAATTGACAAGGTATTGTCACGAAATTTGGCATAGATTATAACCTCAGGTTTTGCTAAAATTTTTATTTAAAATATTGTGCAGATCGAATTACTATAGCATATAGCTGCCAGATAAACTGGCAGATCAAAATCATGAAAAATATCTTTTCACACCCTTTAACGCTATAAAAAATGCGCCTGTGAAGGGTATTATAGCTTCGGTGCAGCCGAAGTTAACTTTTTTCTTGATAAAATTAAGGTTCAAATCTTATTTATAGTATTTTCTAATAATTTTCTAATCAGTTTTTAGAGTAGTTCTCGACACTGATGGCGTGAGAAATACAATATGAGAGAACGATAGTTGCGTTAAAGCATGAATTTCTAACAGTTATTCCCAAACTTCCACAGCTGTAATAAGAAAATAAACTTTCCTTGTCATTGGCTGACAAGCACCTTAACAACTAAAGCTGAAACCTATCTGAACCAGTTTAGTAACTAGTTTCTTTTAAAATCTTTGTCAACACACCAACTGAACACAACCGACATTTCAATCCATGTAACATAAGCATTATCGAAACAGTTTTTATTTATGAGCAACGCCTTCGGATCACCACAACAGCTGCAGCAACAGTTGTTGTGTCAACCGACACTATGCATAACAACAGAATTTTCGAGTAATCTCAACAAATCGATAAGTGTTTCTTGACAAAAACCAAACACACAACAAAAGCAACTGCAAGAATGGCAACAACACTTTCCAAAAACCACAATGCCACACACTGCTGACAGTGACAACACTTGTGTATATATCAGCAACAAAGTAGCCACAAATACCAGCAGCATACACGCACACATATACACATAGGCAAGCACAAAAATAGAGAAAAGCAATGCAGGAAGTAATCGTTATAGCCACAAGCATTAAATGAGGCAGCACTCGCTCAATGCGCACAATTCGATGCACTTGGCATTGCGATGGACCGGGAAGAGCATCGATATTGAGACTGCGTCGGCCGCAAATCTAGGGCTGCGTGGTCAGCAGCAGTTCTGTGGCTCAACAGAAATCAGTATTGGCAGAATTGCACTGAATTTCGATTTTATGCGCATACCAAAGCAAGTGCGTATGCGTGTGTGTGTGTGTATGCATTTCGGTCTGCACATACATCTGCACATTTGCGTGCTTATTAAGAAATATCCTTTCTAGCGATGCGCATAGTCATGGGTGTGCGTGTGCTTGACCACTGGCGATTAAGGAAGCTTAATCCGTGCAAAACTGATGTTTTAATGTAAATATGTATGCAATCTGACTCCGCGTCTGACACAAAAGACGAAAATGATGAGTATAATACTTATGTATGTATATGGATATAAATAAACACCCTATAGTATAATCACACGGAATCTGGATGGATTTTCAATGCAACGAAAATAACGGTCGAATATTTCGTGTAAAACCAAGGGAGTTGGGTACATGATTCGGTCCACGATAAAAAAAGTGCAGAGTTTTAATGGGCTCTGTCAAGCCTTTGAGAAAAGCTTTACTGCAGCGATACGAAAAATTCAGAGAAAACGAGGACTTCAGTGGGTATTGGTAGTTTATGAAATATGTTGATTATTTTTTGTAAAGTTTTCATCTTTAAACAAAAGATGTCTATTCAAATTAATCTGCACAAAGAGACCCTACTCTTCGTCAATTTAAATTAAATTACTTTACAGATGGCACCAGCGTATTTAACACTAGAACTACGAAGGTTTACCATCTGAAAGTTAGAAGCGTAAGAACAAAATAATCTATAATATTATTCTATACACCAATTTAAAAAAATCAGGACATTATCGTAAAATATTAAATAGGAATAAAGAAAAAATGGTATAAATAAATGATGCAACCGGTAATTTTGACCGGTTCGTAGTTCTAGTGTTAAAAGCTCAATGATTTGAATAGTTACCTCTAAATAATTTTTGTACATGACTTCACCGAAATCTACCACCATTCCGTGAATTGTGTCTATAAATCCTGATCTAAAAAAATCTAAAATAAAAAAAAATTGTTTCGAAAGAACGATTGCCTTTTGTCGAGAAAACTCCAAATACTTTTTGTGATTACCATCACTCTGTGGGCTGTGATCACAAATCTCGCCTGGCCAAAATTGTAATATAAATCGTGAAATAATTTCTTGATAGCCGTCGACTCTCGGCAGATAATATCAAAACACACGATATTACTGCTATAAACAATTTGTAAACCTTGAATAGGGTATATTAAGTCTGCCACGAAGTTTGTAATAACCAGAAGTAAATGTCGATTTAGCCATGTCTGTCAAGTTCTTGTATGGAAAACATTTTATTTGACAAGATATCTTCTCGAAATTCGGCATAGATTACTTTTAGTTAAAGTTAACACTACAATCTCCCAACATATTGTTTAGATCGGATCACTATAGCATATAGCTGCCATATAAACTGTCCGGTCAAAATCAAATTAAAGATCATATATAATCACCGTGAAGGCGTATATTAAGTTGCCACGAAATTTGTAAAACCCAGAAGGAAAGATCGAAGACCCCATAAAATATACAGTGTACAGCATAAGTGAAGGTACGATTGGTTCATTATTGATAATATTAAAGTTAAAAACTATTTGGAAAACTGTGGGTGGGAAGTTCTACCTCACCCGCCTTATAGCCCAGACATAGCACCTTCCGATTACCACTTGTTCAGATCAATGCAGAATGCCCTCACCGGAGTACGCTTCTCTTCAGAACAGGGTATCAGAAATTGGATTGATTCTTTCTTGACCTCCAAGCCGGAGA